AGGAAATTGGAGTTTTTAACTGACGACACTGGATCACACCCTACTATAAGTTGACAAGACCTGGTATATTGTATAGTTTACATATTTCATTTTCTATTAAGCTTTGTAAATAAATACTTTCAGTATGATTTGTACCGTAGTTTATGGCATTTATAAATTTGAAACTGTTTGTCTATGTTTTTATCAACCCTCGTGGCTACTATTTAAGAGCATTTATTATTTCGAGCTGTAATGGAGAGATGTGGTTACTATTGTGTGCAGCTATTATTTATATAAAACCCGTATACAGTAAGGACAGTTGCTCAAGTCGTATCCCATAAGAAAAATTAAGTATAAATTGTAAGATCTATTAAATAAACAGAAATTGTTTTATTCAAAACTTTTGTGAACATTGTTGTTATTATGATAAAATTCGAAACGCCAGTACCTTTTTAAATGAAATTAACAAAACTAATTAAAGTAAAATCGGCACGACTAAGGAAATCAGTTTTCTAAGTTAGTTACTTACTACACTTACAGCTTAAGTCGTACCAAAGAATAAAATAGAACACAAACAATCGAAGTTTATATATCTTAAGTAATGTATTTAAATATAAAATATTTTTATCATGTCAACGTGACATATTCAGTTATTACAAACACAAGCATATTTCTGTTATTATTATTATTTTTTGTTTGTTAACTCCAGCACATAGATCATGCACCTGTGTCTTACTTTTTAAGCACGGAATAGTTTTTTTTTTTTTACGATCTTCTGCACAAAGATTACAAAACCAATTGCTCTTCTTTTTTGACTTTTTTCTTTTAATTTCCATTGTTTGTAACTTTCAACTGCTTATTTCTGTTGAGGTTGTCACTGGAACCCACAAAGACAGGGAAGGATTATCTTTCTTGAATTTATAATATCATTTTGCCAATGCAGTATTTCCTGTGTTAAAATAATGTGGTAATTTATATTTTTTCGCCAAATGAAGTGCCAGTTTTCGTAGATCAGCTGCAGTAAGCTCAAAGAAATATGATTCTAAAGAACACGTTTAACTATCTCTTTCTCCATTTTTTCAGTCAGTCAATCCACGAAGATGACGTCTTAAGAGTTGGTTTAGGGATTTCATATTGTCTGTGATGCTTCAGTAAATCTAATATCACCACTGCCTAATTTGCTTAACGTCTAGTCCATATCTTATTGTTTCCGACTATTATAAATTCGTTTTAACATGTTTATGGTCTATAATAAGATAAAAAAAAAAAAACAAAAAATAAAGCAATATTATTTGCTGTTGAGTTTACTGTCTTACCTCCACCGACATTCGGCAGATAAAAGTTAATAACAGAGAGTAATTCCTTAAATCGCACCGGAACGATTTTTGAATCGTATGTGCGTACTGCCGATTTAGGCAGTGGTACGACTTGAACAACCTTATCCAATATAAATTACTAAGTCACTATTTTTTCTATGTTTAAAATTTTATCAACATTCAATTTCCGTCTCGTTCATCATATCGATGATTCAATTATATATTTCGTGTTGTTTTTACCGATGACGGATCTTCCACGGGCTCCTGTGTATAATTATTTTATAGAAGCAAGTTCTCGGTTACTTTTAGAGCACTTTTTAAATAGCTTTTTATTGTTAAAATCTTGTTGTTGTTCTTCCTTTTGCGCACTAGTGCACCTTGAAGCCATAGGAATATCTATATCTTACAAACAAACCAAAAACAATATAAGCAAAAACGTCTTTTATAAAAATTTGCCCGCCCTGAAATCCAGCGGCGCCCAACTCCTCCGGTAAAACTGACCCATCCAGGCAGAAAGTATAATCTTTGTCTAGTTTTCTTTCCTAATTAGATTATAATATATCATTAGGTAGACAGGTCTAAACTTTTTCCAACAAAAACATACTATATACGTTTTTGTTGATAAAAAGGATGATAAAAACGAGGTACCAATATAAAAGTGATTCTAATGTATAAATTTCGCTCCGGTGGTTCGGTTTTTCCCGGAGGGGTTAGTATAGCGGATATATCACACCGGGAAGCTCTTCATTTCTTAATTATTTAAGTGCAGTAGGGGTACAGAATGTCTGGAGGGCAGATTACATTACAGTTTGACCACACCTGTATATTTGGCAAACTCCAAACAATGGGTAATGAAATCAACGATTCGTATTTCTCACGAGATAAGCGTAAAAACTGCAACTTTGGAGTACAATATTGGTTTGCGCAAATCACGTGACAGCTAGCTGTTAAATTGTATAAATACACATGCTCACTATAATTCTTTCCTTTTTTCTCGATACCTTCTAAGGATTGAGTGCTCTGATACACCAGCTATATGTTATTGCAGATATTATTGTGAAGAAAACTGAAGATTAATTATTCGACGATTTTATATNTCTTAGAGTACAATATATGGAATATACTTTTATGTTTTTAATATATTTTATAATGTCAAATATGATTATTTGAAAGAAGATAAAAGTATAGATGAAGTCTATAAATTAATAGACCAAAGAGGAACAAATAGCAATTCCTAAATACGTATTCTAAATTAAACAAATGCCTGTTGGCTGAGAATGGTTTCCTCAAAGAAAGGATTTACAAATAGGTTCAAAAACATAGATGATATTAGATGGAACAAATCATGTCAAGTGTTCTGATGTAAATAAATACTGTATACCTAAAAAAACTTCCTTTCAAAATCATTGGGAAGGATAATCACCCACGAGAACCTTATTATATCCCAGTAACGAAAAATTTTAATTAAAACTAACGTTTTCGACCATAATCATGATCTTCCCAGGCTTTTGACCAGTACAATTCGAATATGGGAATGCGTCGAATAATCTGTTTAAATTATTTTAAAATTCCGAACATTTAAAAGCTAGAAGATAATAAAATAAAAAAAATATATCTCATTTTTGGTTAAGATATGAACGGAGAGAAAGTATAGCATTTTTTTTCAATTCAATTCAAACCTTATTAAGCGTATAAGGCTTTCGCCTGTTACAAGGGCGATGTTTGTTAATACAACATATTAGTCCTTAATATTTCGTTTAGAGATCTTTTAACAAAACTATTGAATATCAATTATATATCATAAAGTTTTAACTTTGTTATAACACAGATTTACAATAGAACAAATATCTTTTACGAACAAACGTTTAAGAATACCGTAATATTATTTTTCTAACACTAGTACTTTGCACTAATTAGTAAATATCTAACTGGTTCACACTTTATATAAATAACATTTTCGTTAACATTAGACATTAATTACAATTTATTTTAAAAAATGGTTCATAAAGTTATATACTTTAAAAATAGTTTAATATTTGCTCTAGATCAAGGATCTTATACATCTCAGATTCATTGGAGCAGTTGGCTATTATACTTATATCATACTTTTGACTGATCTCATTTACTTTACAACATACACAAAATATATGAAATTTAGATAATGATTTATTACATCTGGGGCATACGGTTTGCGAGTACTCTAGGAACTTATTATTGAAAATAATACCATTTTTATTTAGTCTGAGTTGTATAAAGAATTTTTTTGAAGTATTTTAAATAATCTTTGTTATATTGCAGAATATTTATTATATTTAGTGGCGTCCTCATCATAATGTATTTTTTCAAATATTATCAAGTTGTGTATTGTACATAAAATAATGTTAGTTACTTTTTTGATTCCTAAGAAGTTGTTGAAGAAGAAATATTCTTTAAATAAAAAATAAATAAATAATTGAATGGTGTGATATTTTTGTAACAAAATTCTACATTAAGAATTTTGACGCTCTCTAGTGAGATCTCGCAACTTTCTCGTAAATATTAACAAATTCAATGAAAAATTCTACATCTTCAACAAAATCTTTAATAGATAATCATCTGCTGAAATTACAACAAATGAAAAAAAAATGAAATTACTGAAATTTATTCGATATATCAATATGTAAACTTTTACAGAAATAAAATATAACATGATTATTTAAAGATGTGTAAAATTTTGGTTCTGACTTATATTTTTAATAACAAAATATCAGAGTTTAAGAACTTTGTAGTATTCTGTCAGAACTAGAAGTTGTAATTATCTGTTAAACTAATGACATCTGATTACAACCAGAAAGACTAAAAATGTTTATGGCAAATAAGTTTTCATTTGAAAGTTTTTGTGGTTTTTTTTGTATATTATGCGCAGCCTGCACTTAAACTTATTAATACACTACAATAAACTATGGGCGATAGATTTTAACTCATTCAACCAAGTTATTTCTAACTTTAGCTGATTCAAAATTATAAAGTATGCAATAAATAAGTTATCATTAAATCGGCTTTATCAGTGGCTGAATGGATAACAACACTGACCACTGATAGCCGTTTCTGGACAATTAGAAAACGTGCCTGTCTAATTGTGATACGAATTAAATCAAAATATAAAAAATGACAGTACAATTAACAATGTAGAAGACGATAGACTGTTCTCAAATCAAACAATTATTGTAATCGAATTGTGTAGAATTTGTTAGTTTTGAATTAACCTTGCTTAAAAAAAGTGTCTAACATTTTCTATAAAAATAGTGTCAAAACACACGTCAATTATAAAAGGCACGAGAAATAAAATTCATATTTCCATAAGATGTGGATTTTCGAAGAGCTTATAAATATG